CCTCTGCCCTCCCCGGGCGCCGTGGTGTCCTGCTGCCTGCACGGGAAGCCCGAGGCGCCTGTGGAGGACCCCAGCGGCGGCGTCGGCGGCGGCGGCGGCGGCCACGACGACGACGACGACGACGACGACGACAACGACGACGACGACGACGACGACGACGACGACGACGACGACGACGACGACGACGACGACGACGACGACTACAACCACGACGAGGACGACGACGACCACGACCACGACAACGACGACGACGACGACGACCACGACGAGGACAATGACAACGACGACAAGGACAGCGCCAGACCTCCAGCGTCTTCAGGCTTTTCCTAGTTTCTGGCGGGGGCCCTCGCCAGGCTCCGGGATTGTCAAGCAACGATCCGGGACGAAAATTTGGTCCCGGGAAGTGCTCCAGAGCTCTGGGCACCCCGAAGTGAAAGAATGAAGACATCGGAGGTCTGGGGACGAGGACGGCGAAAACGACGACGACGACGACGGCGACCAGCCATGCGAGCCCACAAACAAGAGAGTCCAAAGTAGGGCGCGCAGGAGAAGGATGAACACGCCAAACCCTTCGCGGCGCAGGGTGGGGAGGATGGCGTACGTGACAGCGTGTAGTCTCGGTGTCGCGTGGGCCTGGTGTACCTGCTGGGAGGTGCCAGCGGTGCTTTGTGGTGCTCATCGGCCACTCGGCGGGCTGGTCGCTTGGCGTCGGCTGCCTGGTCGTCCGGCGTGCGCGTCGGTCGGTCTACGTTCATTCGGCGGCCGTCGGCGGCGGGTGTCGGCGTACTGTCGTCAGACGGTCGTCGGGCAGTCGTCGGACGGGCGGCGGACGGGCGCAGTCGGTCGTCGCACGCTGGTCTGCTGGTCGGCGGCGGGACGTCGAAGGGCTTCTCCGCGCTATGGGGGACAGCCGTCAAGCTGGACGTGCGCAGGTGCGCAGTGTTACCGTTGCTCGGTTGGACTGCCCAGTGCTGGTTGCGTTCCCCCGGTCAGCCGACGACGGCGCCGTGGTGGCCGTCGACGGGGTTACGCCCTTGGCTGGCGACCGCCACCTCGGTCGACGTAGAGGGCGATGGTGCTGCGTGTGGCGCTCGGCGCACGCGAGCAGCGAGCTTGCCAGCGCTGCAGGTGCCCCTCGGCACCCTCGGCGCGGCGCGGCACGCGCCGCGGGGGTGACGCTCGCAGCGGCGCCCAGGTGGCCAGCTGGAGGGTCATCATGCGGGCGTGGACGTGGCCCACTTCTGGGGGACCGTGGTGGTGCCGCTCGTCGGAGGTCCTCTCGGGGATGCTCGGTAGAGGCTACGAGGTGGTGCTGCAGGAGCCGGCGGGCAAGCTACCAGTCAGCTTCGTGTGCTCGCAGAGGGGGGGCCAGAGGCTGCGCAGAAGCTGCAACGTGTGACCAGAAAAGCGAGGGCAGCCCGTGGTGGCTGCGATTTGCCTGTTGGTCTGGTCTGGCCAGAATGTGTCATGGCGGCTGGTGCCATGTTGGGGCGACCGCTGGTCAGTGGGAAGCAGACAGTCGTCAATCGTCGTCGTCAGATGACGGACAGTCAGCAGTCGGATGTCGGCGGTCAGTCTGGCGGTCGTCGGCGGTCGACCGACGGTCATCCTTGGGTAACGGACAGCTGGCGGGCGGCCTACGTGCGGTCGTCAGTCGGGTCAGCGTCGTCTGGCTTGTCGTCTGCCGGTCGGCGGACGGTCGTCGGACGTCGTGAGTCCGTTGGTGGTCGGCGGCGATCAAGCGATTGGGTCCCAAATTGGACCCTTCCATCGTTGGCAAACGGGGCGGAGGGTAGACTGAGGCCTTTCCAGCTCAGGGGGAAGACCTGGCTGCGCTGGTTGAACAGCGCCACGAGGGAAGACCTCGGCGACCGTGCATGGAGGCCGGTCCGTCCCGGCAATGCAATACATAGTCTTGCAACGCAGCATGTACTACATTGGATTCACCTCAGGCCCGCGTGGCCGCGCCTGAGAACCCCAAGTGGCAGTCGGCTGACGCCCGGAGCAGGGGTCGCGAGGGACTACGCCAGGGGCAGTGGTTGCAACGTGGGCCTGGTGGCCCCCGTGGCTGATGCGCCCGAGAGTCAGCAGGTCGCGGTCGCGGCGGCGAAGCAGGCGGGTGTCCTTGATCGGGATCGGAAAAGAAGGGGGTGATGACTAGGGGGGGGGATTTCCTGGCGCGGGCCATGATTTTCCTCAGATTTCATGGATTCTATTACATCCCAGGCCCCCCCGCTGGGCCACGCACGTGCCGCCGGCCATGATTTGCACCCCCCCTCTCGGACACCCCGCTCTGGGCCGCTCCCGATTTTATCACCAGGAGATCCAGAGGAGGAAGGAGGCGGGTGCCGAGATGGAGTGGCTTGGTCCGCCGTTCGTCCACGTCTGGTCGGCCCTCATCACAGCCGTGGGCATGGACCCCCAGGCGGACATCAACGCGAAGCAGACCCTGGAGAAGTGCTGGGGCGAGGTGGTCCTGAAGGTGCAGGTGATCGAGCTTGCCGGCCAGGTGCGCCACTGTTGGGTGCGCATGACGCGCAAGCAGGAGGCGAAGGGGGAGAAGCTTCGCCTGACATTCGGGGCGGACCATCGCTTCAGCGAGTTGGAGACGGCGCTGTTCACTTACTTCAGCAAAGTGGGCCAGCGGAAGTGCGGACCAGCACCTCGCGGAGCCCTGGAGCGGGACGCGTCGAAGATGCTGGAGCAGCTCACGGCCTGAGTTCGGCGCCCTTTAGTGCCAGTCGTGCGGGGACTGGCTCAAGGGATGCAGTTCTTCGACCATCGCCCTCGAGTGCCAGTCTTGCAGGAGATGCAGTTCCTCGGCCCCCCCCCCCCCCCCCCTTGCTCCTGCAGTGGCCGGCGCGCCCAGCGAGAGGTGCGTAGTTGTGCCAGCAGCCTTTAGAACTTCAGCACGCTTCAGGGCCTTAGTCGAGCGTGGAGAGTTCCTCCCTCCTTTCTCGCCCTCGAGCGCTGCGGTTGCTGCTGCCTGCCCTCCCTCCGCTCCAGGACTTCTCACTCTTCGATGGTTATATATGTATATAAGGGGTTAAGTGAGATACGCGTGCACTCAACGGAGGAGGAGGGGGAGAGGAGGGGACGAGAGAGGGACCAGGACAGGGCGATGGTATTTTCATGGCAGCGTGGCGACGCGCATCTCCGCCGAGCGTGGGCCCTGGTGGCCCCGCGCTCAACGCGAGCGCGTGGGCCCTGACGGCCCGCGCGCTCGCGCTCTGGCACGCCTGCGGCCGCTCGGCCGACGCAGGCGTCTGGGAGCAAAGCGGGGTGGGTGGGCACCCGCGCGTCGGCCAGAGCCGAACGCTACGGACCCAAAATGGCTACCTGAGCCCACACCCCCTCCCACTTAACCTGCAGTCTACAACCAATCAGACTATACAAGTTAAGTGAGATACGCGTGCACTCAACGGAGGAGGAGGAGGAGAGGAGGGGACGAGAGAGGGACCAGGACAGGGCGATGGTATTTTCATGGCAGCGTGGCGACGCGCATCTCCGCCGAGCGTGGGCCCTGGTGGCCCCACGCTCAACGCGAGCGCGTGGGCCCTGACGGCCCGCGCGCTCGCGCTCTGGCACGCCTGCGGCCGCTCGGCCATGAGAAAAGAAAGACGCAGCCGCGCGCGCGGGGACGCCCCGCCCGAGTGCGAGGGCGGGATCAGAGGCTGCAAGAGCCTCGCGCGCGCGGCCACTTGCCTGCAACCTTGAGGCCTTCCGCGCCCGCGCACCCAGAGCGCGGGCGCGGCGCGTGCGCGATGCGCGCAAAAGAACCGAAAAGGGTGGCGGCGCACGAGGCGCCGGGCGCAGAGCGCAAGTGTGGCCCCGACCGCACGGCGCGCAAGACGCGCAGCACGGCCGGGTCCAGGAAGCACGCGACGTGCGCGCAACGTTAAACTCCTCCAAGAGGGAGGATCGCAGGCGCCACCTGCGTACCGTAGGCTAAAAGAAAGAAGATCGCAGGCGCCACCTGCGTACCGTAGGCTAAAAGAAACAAGATCGCAGGCGCCACCTGCGCACCGTAGGCTCAAGGATCGCAGGCGCCACCTGCGCACGGTAGGCTGAGAGGAGGGCCGACTCACTCACAGGCCGCCGCCTTCAGCCCGCGCCCGCGATGCCGCGGGCGCTGGCGTCGGGGTACGGGGGGGAGCTTCACGCCTAGATGGAGGGCGTGTTCCCCCGGCGGTCGCGGCTCTCGTCTCCGCTGCGGTCTCCGCCGCGCTCACTGGGGTCCCGGGGGCTGCCGCCATCGCCGCCCCTCGACGCGCGACCGTCCGCGCTGGGCCAGTCACGCTCACTCCGGCCGCGGCTGCCCTGGTCGCCCTTGGAGTGGCCGCCCTTGCCGCTCTTGTCGCCCTTGCCGCCGCTCTTGGAGCCCTTGGCGGCCTTGCCGGAGTACTTGCCCTTGACCTTGCCGCCCTTGCCGCCCTTGTCGCCCGCGCCCTTGCCACGCCAGGCTGGGATCCCACCCCCGCCCGCGGCAGCCTCCGCGGCGGCAGCACGCCGCCGCTTTTTCTCCTGCTCGCACCAGCCGCCGCGAGGAGCGCGAAGCTGCCCAGCGTGCTTCCCGGTCTTACGCCGCGTGCGGCCGGGCGGGGTGTCGCCGCGCCGCGCCCACGCTGGGTCCCGCGCCAGACTGTGGCTGGGCGACCTCTCGCGCTTGGGCCGGTGGCGGCTGGGCGACCTCTCACGCTTGGGCCAGCTGAGGTCGCCCGGCGGGCGGTCCCCCTCAGCCCCCGCACCCGTGGCACCCGTGCTGGGGCGCTCGCCATGGCCGACACTGGGGCCCGGCGCCTCCCGCACGGTGTGGCCGCTCCGCCGGGCCTTCTCCACCACCGTCTTGGGTTTGCCGAAGGCGACGCGGCAAGCCTCGCAGTAGCTCACGTCGCACCCCTTACAGTGCCACCGCAGGGCTCCGCTGTTAGCTCCGCCCGCGGGGCACATCTCGCAACCCCAACCGTCTCCCGGGTCAAAGGAGCTCCAGCGCATCTTGAGTGCGCTTGTCGGGCAGGCAGGCGGCTGGATGGTCGGGCCATCCTCCCCGTCGCTGCCTGGGTCAGGGCCGCG